TCATCCCCCCCCCCCCAAAAAAAACCTGGCCCTGGTCACATGAGCAGGATAATCCACAGGGAAAGGGAGGCTTTTAGAGCCGGAGCAAAATGATGCGCAGTAGCGCGATCTGACCGTCCCCCGAGGCTCTGTGCTCAGGCCTTTGACAGCCGATCACACGAAGCGAGGCAACACGGCAGTAACACGTGTGTGCACATGCGTGGGACGCCGACAGGCACTGACTGCGACGGGCTATCAGCACCTCCCGATCAGACGCCTGCATGCACCGCGCATTTTCCGGAAGATACTGCATGGTTCCCAGTATCTTTTAACTCCGTTTCTTTGGGTCGAAGCTACGGGTTGGGGACGGGAGCTCCACGCTTCCCAGATGTTGAGGTATGATCGTGCCCATTTAATCCGCAGGCAAGCCGTCCCTCTTGCGGGACAAATTCTCCATGTGACCAGGGCCACGGTATTCCAATCTTCTGATATCACCCAAGGCTAATTTCTTAGAGCTCGGTCGCCATTGATAGGTCAACAGAACATTAATCGACCTGCGACGTGTTTAAGTGGGATCACTCCCCAGGGCGTAGATTCTGAGTTGTTCTACACTTGATATAGGATGGTAGGTTTCTGGACCAGACTGTTGTCAAACTGCAGGGAAGGAATTGTGATTCCGGATGCCCCCTTCTAGGTCAAAAGCTCTGTGCGCACCCTTAACTAGCCCATCAAGGGGAAATATTTAGAGCACTCTTATTTATTTTATATCTTCGACTTCTATCTTGTCCTGGTGTGTGATTTGTCTACAGGCAGGGAGGGCTTTTTACAGAAGTAAGGGTTCAGAGAATATCAGCCTCACTGTATAGGCATTATGGCTTTTCCTAGAGGGGGGGAGGAGTTGGGGTGGTGATATGGAGTAGAATTCCACAGAGGGGATATAGGGTGGCCAGGTCCCCAGCAGGGGGTGGGGGTGGTAGGGCTGCCAGTTCCAGGTTAGAAAACTCCTGGAGATTTGGGGGTGGAACCTGGGGAGGACACAGAGACCTCAGTGGGTCGCAATGCCATGGAGTCCACCCTCCAAAGCATCCATTTTCCCCAGGGGATCCAGTCTCTGTAGTCGGGAGATGAGCTGTAATTCCAAGGAATCACCAGGTCCCACCTGGAGGCTGGCATCAGTTCTCCACTCCAAACCAAGCCTGTGCTACCTGCCTTCCCTCTGCAGTGCTCCAAATGCATTTCAGGTGGATTTATGCAGTTAAGCCTTCAAAACAGGTCAGTTAAGGCTAGCAAGGCGGTGCTGCCCAATCAAACGCCAGGAAGCAGCAGGCCTTGGACCAGTGAACTCGCAAGGATCAAGCCTGTGGCTGCACAATTGGCTCGGGCCAAAGAACAGAACTCCAGGGACATAAGCCTCGCCAGCCAAGAAAGTTTCTTTGCACTGACAGATCAGAGCAGGTCAGGTGATACCTCCTGATCCCTCACCAGGTCATGCTTGTTTGGGTGGGCTGCCAGCTTCCAGGAGAGGGCTGGAGATTTCCCAGAATTACAGTTGACTTCCAGACTACAGCGATGCGATCCACTGGAGGAAATGGCTGCTTTAGAGGCTGAACTCTATGGCATTATACCCTGTCGGGCTCCCTCCCCTCTGCAAAACCCACCCTCCCCAGGCCCCACCCCAAATCTCCAGGAATTTGCCGACCTGGAGTTGGCAACCCTACATGATGTCTTTGAGCAACAAAGGGACTTGCTCTTGGTTGCCACCTTCTCACCTGCACTTTGCTCCTGCCCCCCCCATCACACACACAATTGCATAGAGACCGAGTCCAACACTATGGCATGTTCATATGTGTTTAGTATAGAACAGGGGCGGGAAGATAGTAATGAGAAGCAAATCAGTAGTCAATTTCTGTTGCGTGGCCTAGTGCCTGTGGGTTGCTATGATTCTTCCAAAGAACGCTGTACTGGGTGGACCTCAATTTGATCCAGTGAGGCATTTATGGTATTTGCAGGCACGCCCACCTGTGCAGGAACACAAACTACTTAAGCCTTCAGCAGTGGTCAGCATGGTTGAGCATCTTGCCAAGGCTACAGAATGGCAGAAGGCCCTGGATACATCAGAAGCATTGGGCCAGTATGCCCCTTTCAGAAATGGGAAGTCAACGCAGAGTCTTTGGGGCGATCTCCTATTTGCTGCTGGCAGTGGCGCCCGGAGAAAGGCACAGAGGCATGAATCTCTTGCATGCCTCAAACCCCACTGTCTCCTCTCAGCTCCGCTAGCCCCAGCCGAGCTCCAAGAAGCAAGAGAGAGATGAAGATATGCTTGAGAGGATGTGCAAGTCTGAAAGGGCACATGAAGAAGTTGGTTTTTATACCCCACTTTTGTCTGCCTTAAGGAGTCTCAGAGTTACTTATATTCGCCTTCCCTTCCTTACCCCACAACCAGTGTTCCCTCTAAGCTGAGTTAGTGTGAGCTAGCTCATAGTTTTTTTAGCCTCCAGCTCACACATTTTTGTCTTGGCTCAGGAAGGATGGCTCCAGAGCAAACTAATTTGTGCAGGAGCCAAATTGCTCGCTCACAGCTTTAATGCTAGTAGCTCACAAAGTAGAATTTTTGCACACAAGACTCCACAGCTTAGAGGGAGCATTGCCCACAACAGTCACCTCATGTGGTAGGCAGTGTTCCCTCTAAGCTGAGTCAGTGTGAGCTAGCTCACAGTTTTGTAGTCTCCAGCTCACACCTTTTTGTCTAAGCTCAGGAAGGATGGCTCCAGAGCTAACTAATTAATGCAGTAACCAAATTGCTTCGCTCACAACTTTAATGTCAGTAGCTCACAAAGTAGAATTTTTGCTTACAAGACTCCACAGCTTAGAGGGAACATTGGTGGTAGGTGGGGCTGAGAGAGTTGTGAGAGAACTGTGACTGGCCCAAGGTCACCCAGCAGGCTTGGTGCCTGTGGTGGTTGGCGGTTCCAACGATGTCTCTCTGATCAGAATCCACCACTTTAAACCACTACAACATACACTCTCTCTCATGTGGAGTGACGCACATTTGGGAGGGGAACACTGAAGGGAATCTTGCCCAGGGTCTTGCAAAACTGAAAGCCAGAGCTGCCGTCTACAATTTACACTCCCTGCTTTGCAATTTGACATACATTGGTAGGTTGTGGGGATTCTAGCAAAAAAGAAAGAAGGGAAGATGGCAGAAAACTGGTTAGCCCAACCCTGGTAGAGAACTTCTTCCCGGGGGCCTATAGTTTGCCTTACCTTTATTGGGACGACTTGCATCAAAATGGCAAAGTTGGTGAGATGGTTGCACAAGCAGATGGAGTAGCTGAGGTCGCCATCCTCTCGCACACAGCCTTCGTTAGACCAGACGCCACTCCCGTTGCTGCAAATTAGAGACGGTTTTATTTTCATTTTATTCCCTGTGTGTTAAACACAGCTAATTAAAACTACAGTTTGGGGTGGGGGTGGGGGAGAATTACTTTGAAAACTGCCTAAAATTTAACAAACTCAAATATCATCTCAAAGCAAAACGGGGGGGGGAGGCAGGGGGAAATCTTTTCAGAAGCTTATTCATCAAGTTAACACAACAGGAATCTGCCATAAATATGCAGGTGAAGTTTTGCCATTGAAGTTTCAAAGGGGGAAGAAAGGGGATTTTGAATCAGAAGAGGCAGGCCCCTACGGAGCTTGCGGAAGAAAAGAAAGAAGAGCAATCTCAGGACAACTTTCCCATCATTAAAACTGCCCCCAAAGCGAAAAGGTTCCAGAAGGACGGGACCGTGTCATTGGTGTGCTAACGTCCCTCAGACTTCCGCGGTGCTTGTGATAGCAAGGCAAACCCCCTGGTATGATGTAACAGGATTTTAACAGCACTTAAATGAGTCAGGATGACAGACAACGCTGCAAGAAAAACATCTCAGTTTATCCGGCGGCTCAAATGTTAAGAAGCTGCCGGTGCCTGTGGTGGTTGGCGGTTCCAATAGCAACAGGCGGCGGCATAAGAGCCCCCCTCCGGCTTCCTTGCCCGCAGCCCTGAGCCTTCTGCTCGGGCAACAGTGTGGTCAAAATGGCTTTTTCAGCTCAGTTTACAGGAACAGGTGCTCCTCTCTCAAAACATGAACCCTTGGAAGGCAGCCTTTAAATCTTGATTGTGTAAATGATCCATAAAAGTCTTTCCAAATAAAGTGAAGTGCGGGGCTTGACGTCCACCATATGTTATGCAAACTCAATGCACACTCTATTCATTACCGGCAATTTGATGCGCAAATTAGCTACCGAACTAATTGCCCGCCGCCACCATCGGAGGGCTGCTCTGCTGCCGTAGTGCAATCAGCTATGAGGCCACTGGCCAAACTCCAGCAGGACTGCCACTGCCAGTGCCACATGGGGGGGGGGATGTCTCTCTGTTGTCCAAAGTGTGAAACAGGAGCAAGAAGAGTGATTTTGAAGTGTCAAGTGGCCTCCAATGCAATGCTGCCATGTTTCTCACACTACAGAGCATGTGAGCTCATACTCAGGGCTGAATGTATGATGCTGCCCACAATCAGTTACTCCTTGGGTCCGCCTCATATTTATCCACTCTTATGAGCACTGGCTCTCAAAGGCCTCACTTCGAGAAAGATCTTTCCCCTTACCTGCTGCCTGTTCTATCATCCACTGTATTTCTGAGAGCAGCAGCACATACCAGGAAATCTGTTTGCCCCTTTTCTCATGTGTGATGTATACCAGACCAGACCAGACCAGAATTTAGTTAGCCATCTCTTTTTCGAAGAAGAAGAGGATTTATACCCCGCCCTTCACTACCCAAAGGAGTCTCAGAGCGGCTTACAATCTCTTTTCCTTTCCCCTCCCCCTGTGAGGTAGGTGAGGCTGAGAGATCTCTATCAAGCTCTGAGAGAACTTGTGACTGACCCGAGGTCACACCAGCAGCTGCACGTGGAGGGGTCGGGAATCAAACCCAGTTCTCCCAGACTAGAGTTGGCGCTCCTAACCATTGCACCAAACTGGCTTTGTAAGAACCAGAAGAAGAATATAAAAACATTATTTGCCCTGGTAAGAACCAGAAGAAACATATAAAGACATTCAGAGCTGCCTTATACTGCGTCAAACCATGGGTCCGTCTCACTCAGAGCTCCCCACTCTGTTTGGTAATGACTCTCCATCAGAGCTCTTCTCTATCCCTGCTCCTGGAAAGGCCTAGGTTTGCCAGCCTCTGGCAAAGGTCTGGAATTCTCCCAGAATCACAACTGATCTCCAAACTCAAGAGGGAATGGCAGCTTCAAAGGCTGGATTCCATGGCATCACGTCACCTTCTGAGCTCCCTTCCTTCCCCAAACTCACGCAAGAACCTGCCTTATACTGAATCAGACCGTCCGTCTATCAAGGTTAGTACTGTCTACTCAGACGGGCAGCAGCTCTCCAGGGCTTTCACATCACCTGCCACCTGATCCTTTTCACTGGAGATGCCTGGGATTGAACCTGGGACCTAAGAACGTAAGTACATAAGAGAAGCCATGTTGGATCAGGCCAATGGCCCATCCAGTCGAACACTCTGTGTCACACAGTGGCAAAAACCCAGGTGCCATCAAGAGGCCAGAGCTCCAGAAGCCCTCCCACTGTTGCCCCCCAAGCACCAAGAAGACAGAGCACCACTGCCCCAGACAGAGTGTTCCATCTATACCAGTCACTGATGGACCTGTTGCATGCCAAGCAGATGCTCTAACACTGAGCCGCAGACCCTCTCGTAACTCTGCCCTCTGCCAAATCTCTATGAATTTCCTAAACTTGAGTAGGCAACACTACGGAAAGCCTGTATCAAGGTGCCAGGGACTGAACCTTGGACCTCCTAGGTACAGGTGCTCAGACACTAAGCTTCAGTTCCCTAGCAAGACAGCTGCTGCTATGACAACGTGAGAGAAAGAAAAAATAGCTGTCGAGACAAACCTTTATCTGTTGTTCTCCCGCCTCCTGGGAATCTGTGTAAAGCTGTATAGAAATATTAATTCCTATAAACCCCTGCCTTTCCCTGAAATGTCTTTCTGATACCTTGTTTCCTGTTGCAAGCCAGATGGCTGACCATTTGGTCAGAGAGGCTCAATATCCAGCCATAAACCATACATTCTTCACACCTCTAGCAGACCTGATGGCGCCTGGTTGTGCCTACATGCCAGGACTCACGTAAAGTATAGAGGAGTGGTTAGAGTCTGGGGGATCACATACTGCAGGTGTGGCCTTCAAGACTACTGACCATTCAGAACAATTGGACACTCCCAGGTCTACTTCAATTGGCTCCTGGCCAGAGCTCATTTGAAACCTGGAATTGCCCTATATCAGTCTAAACCCATAGAGAGGAGCTCAGATCTTTCTTGCTTTCTTGTTCTGTTCTGTTGCTGTCATCTGGAATGCTGTCTCTGCCATGTGGCCTGGGACAGAACAAAGGACTCCTTTGTGAGCTGAGCACATGCTTGCAAAGATGGGGTTGCTCTTACGAATCCCTTGGTCTCATTTGGATTGTCTACCATGGACATTATCTGGACTGATGCTACTCTGATGATTGGTAAATATGCTTCTTATTGTGTAGTTAGGCAAAACATTGCTTAGGATGTTCTTTTAAAGTCTTTCTAGTCTGATTGCAAGCCTGTACTGAATAAATCTTATTCTTGTTTATAACTAGTGTCTGCTTGATGTGCAACTGACTCCAAGCTAACTCCTGTGTCTGAACCACTCACCAAATTAAGCTATTTTATGGTGTAAAGTCCAAGAGGCCAGTTAAGAGTCTGAACCTTGCTCTTGGACTGGAAGGGGACTATAGTTGAAAAGGTTCTGGTGGCTGTGTCTGTAAATCCAGAGAGGCTATCTCTCCTGGGTT